TTTAAATTTATTATGACATTCTGTGAATTATCTTGTTGATTATGTTAGTTAAGTTCCAATTATGATTTATTTTGTTGATTTTATTTATTACATGTTTTTCACAATTCAACTTTCAAGGTGGCACACATGATATTGATGAAGAAATGCAAGATGGTGAAGGAGGATCATTCTATATTGGTAATGCAAGTGGAAGAATTGACTTTGAGTGAATTGGTGAAGAACATGATGATAGTTATGATAGTGAAACTGATTTTCATAAAGGTGATGCTTGATTTAATGAAAATCCTACTCATCTAGGGGAAAAACAATGAACAAATTCAATTTATGCATCATTTGCATATTAGTTTGAGTTTTTGTGACTTGTTTTATATATATATATATGTGTGTGTGTGTGTGAGAGAGAGAGAGATTTGTTAATTTACATATTTATTAAATTCAATTTATATTGAAAATTGCTATGTAAGGTTGGAAATTGTAAGGAAAAAAATATGAAAGACAACAAAATGACGCCAAAACCTAGAATTACAAAAAACACCTCTTTTCTCATTTAATCTAACCTACCAACCAGTTCAACTAGTTAAATCACCTAAACCGAGAACCAATGAATAAAATGGTTCAATCATCTGTTCGAGTTTCAAAACATTGAAAAAAATGTATAGTCTCCAGATGTACCTTGTAACCTACTCCCTATTTTTGTTCATGGTAGTCATATTTGTTTTTATATTGTAATAGAAATAAATATTTATTTTTCATTTTCTTTAATTATTATATTTTAATTTTAATTATTCACACTATTATTAAAAAAAATTATCATTGTCTGTTTATTACATAAGGATAATATAGAAAAAAAAAATTTCTTAATATGAGAAGAGAAAAATGAAAAAGTAAAAACCGACTTAAGTATTTATGGTACGGAGGTTAAGTCTGTTAAGCCGCGCAGCCCTTGGTGAGTCGCCCTAATTTTAGGCAAAATCCTACTTAAGCCCTTAAACTTTTTTTAAGATTCTCCATTAAATTTTTAAATTTTTATTAAAGTAAATAAGTCCTTAAAATTAATAATTAAAATAATTTAATCCTCTTTCTTTTCTTTATAGGAGATTTAATGTTTATTTGTACCTTATGTGGTAAAATATTAACATATCATTACTTACATAGTGAGTATTAACATTATCCACATAAATAAATCACAAACAAGCATTAAGTTTAGTATAAGAAAAATGATTAAATTGCTCAAATTACAAAGTTTTAGGGCTTATTTCCCTCAATAGAAGTTTGGGGGCATAATCAAAATTTAGAATAAGTTTGTGGGCTTAACATAGAATTTTTGCCGTGATTTTACCAGATTTAACGGCGTCCGCAGACGGTTAAACTTTCTTAGTGAACCGACCGAATATTCCAGCACGCGGGATCGACACTCAATCACTCGCTTCAAGAGCGCGTCGACCTCACTCGCCCCGGTCCTATATTAATCATCTACCTCTCCTCATCGGGATGTGTCTCCGGTGTCTCCAACTTCCCTGGCCTCCGGATTATACATCACCGCCACAATCGACGAAACCCAGCTACTCAGCCGTCCAATCGACCATCGCACATCGCACTACGTCTTTGAGGTTCTCTTTTAGTAGGTAACAATCGCACATTTACCTTTTCCCTTCTACATCCCTCTCGTCGGCGACGTTTTCCGGCCACATTTCAGGTCGGTACGTCCTTCAATTCTTAGCTCACTCTTTCTCTTATCCTTACGCTTTTCTAATAATTTCTTTTTTCCATGGCGGAATTAGACGAACGACATACTTGAAGTTCTTTTCAATCTTTACTTTATTAAGAAAAGAAAATTTTCAATGCTGCGTTTAGCTGGAAAATCCAAAGAAAATCAAAGAATATATGTTGTTAATCTTTGTATTTGCGAAACTTATTGTTAGTTTAAGATCTGCTTGTTTGTAAATTCTTTTTTTTCTGTTCTGTTTCTACTAATTACTGTGTTTTTTTAGTTTAATTTTGTTTTCGAAACTTTGAATATGCAGGTTGAAATTGTGTTGATGAGAAATAATTGTAAAGCTTAAGCTTTTAGTCTGGCAATCGGACTTTCCTTCCTCCGTTTTTGGGTTTTTGCAGTAAATGGGCTGCTTTCACTCAAAGATAACCAAGCAATACCCAGGATATGAGGATCCTATATCTCTTGCTTCAGAAACAGCTTGTAAGCCCATCTTTCTGTAATGTTAATTAGATTATTTTGTATAGATGCTCTTGATTTGCTAAGCTTTCTATATTCTTCTTTGGAAATCGGAATTGCAAATGCTTGTGATTTATGGTTCCAGAATTTGGATTAGTATTTACCAAGTGAGCATTTTATTTGTCTCAGAACTTCTACCAAAGTGGGATTATGGGTTAAACTTTCATGGTTTCTCAGATTTCTTTCTTTTTGTCATTTTTTTGTTCTTTGTTTATTATGATTCCTTGGTATTCAATCTTTGATGGATGCTAGCTAGTCGTGTATTTTAGCAAAAGGCAATTGAAAGAACCAAAATTTTTGGTCAATCACTTCACCTAATCCTTTTGCTTCACTATATGGAATCCTTGAATAGTAGATACCTGATGCTTATTGCAAGGTTTGACTTTTTTTCATTGTATTTTCTTGTTTCTACAGTTAGTGTCAGTGAAGTTGAAGCATTATTTGAATTGTACAAGAGCATAAGCAGTTCAGTGATTGACGATGGGTTGATTAGCAAGGTATTCTCCGGTTATTTATGCATATAAAGAAGGGAATTTGGGCTTTTACTTTCTTCCTGTTTTGATGGTGTTGTATGGTCCTTGTACCTTCCGTCTTATTTTTACTCCTCCCTCTAATATAAGAGAATCTTTTTCCTGCGCCTCTTTATCATGTTCATTGTGAAATTTTTGCATGCTGATTGTTATGGCCAGGCAGCTAATGGCTCCTGTTATGTATTATTATTGATTAACCAAAAAGCATCCCTGATGTATGTGCAGGAGGAATTTCAGTTTGCTATTTTTAAGAATCAGAAGAAGGAAAATCTATTTGCAAATCGGGTAATTGATTTTAATATCTTTGTTGTTACTCTAAGAATGTAGATTTATAAGTGTATGCTTGTTTTATTTGACTAAAGTGCCACCAAAGCACCAATTGCTCAAGGTGCTGTATGCTAAACAGTGCCTGGCATTTTTGAAAAACTAAAAAACTCAAAAATGCTGACTTTTAATTTAATTCATGCTCAGAAAGTTTGTATCCTAATTATGAATAAGACCTTTACCCTATGCATGTTTAATGATGTGATGTCTTCTATGCAGATCTTTGAGTTATTTGATTCTAAACATAGGGGAGCAATTGATTTTGGGGACTTTGTTCGATCACTCAATGTCTTTCATCCCAATGTCCCACAAGAGGAGAAGATTGATTGTAAGTTTAACTCAGTGTTATTTGGATTCAGTTATCTATATTATTCAATTCCCACTGAGCTTTTCATTCTTTGGCACTATCATAATCTTTCATTTCATTTTATATCATCATTTGAGTTTTGTGATATGGCTTCAACCTGCAGTTACATTTAAACTCTATGATATGGATGGTACTGGTTTTATCGAGCGGCACGAGGTATGCTGGTTCTTATAGTATATATATTGGATATTCATTTAGCATGCTATTTTATGTCCTTCATCTAGGCTATTTCATGCCTTCTTCTTGCTCATCCATAAGCCTATTAGGCACTTTGGCTGTTCAAAATTGCAAAGCTACAAAAAAAATTCCCTTTTCTTTGTTTGCCTGAAGATGATTGCAGTTGCTTATCATCCATATCTATATTTTAATTCAGCATCTTCTTAAAAGCTCCTTGTAAGCAACTTAATATCATATGATTTTGGCAGGTCAAGCAGATGTTGATTGCCCTGTTATGTGAATCTGAATTGAAGTTGGCTGATGAAACCATTGAGGCAATACTCGATAAGGTCAGTTTATTTTTTTCCTAAAACAAATTTTTTTAAGGCATTCTTACAAACTTGGAGTCTTCTTGCACGACTTTTCTTAAAGTTTGCAGGGTTTTTTATTTTTATTTTTATTTGTTGGTCATCAGGGGTTGCAGTAATTAATAGGTGGTTGTGTTCTACCATATTGCATTTGTCTTGACAGCATGAGTTGAAATTTACTCTTTGGGCTGGTTTTTTGAGCAATCTGATAAAAAATAGTGACTGAATTATGGAAATTTGTAAACAGACATTCTTGGATGCTGACATCAATCAGGATGCAAAGATCGATAAATCTGAGTGGCAAAACTTTGTTTCCCGTAATCCATCCTTATTGAAAATTATGACCCTCCCTTATCTCAGGTTTGACTTATTAAAACTCTTATCCTCTGTTTATCAAATACATACTTGAAAAACTTTTCTCAGGAAGTTTTATCATTTTTTGTGTGGGAAATTGGCAGGGACATAACAACAACGTTTCCAAGCTTTGTTTTCAATTCTGAAGTTGATGAGATCGCTACGTAATTAAAGAGTAGCACAGGGGTAAGGATGTATCTGCTTGTGGGTTGAACTTAGGAATGTTTTTGCAGATATCGGTGTACCACTTATGCAACTCCCCCTTTTTCAATGACAACAGCTTAGTAAATTAGGATTGCAAGTTGATTGTACGTGTTATGTACAGGACATTAGGAATTCTGACCTTTCCTCTTCATCATCATTCATCACACGGGGACCAAATTTTCTAGTCTTAACTTCTAAATTAGAAGGGCAAAAGCCAATGCAAGGATAGAAAGAGTTCTAATTGCGTTGCGTGATGTAGTTGATATCAAAGTCTCTTCAAATTTTATTTAAAAATCTTGATACGAAGATAAAAAGTAATGATTACATAATTATTATTAATTTTTATTTTGAAAATAATGAAAGTAACTTTTATTTTAATTGTAAATGTTACAAGTTAATTATTTATTTATTTATTTTAAAATTAAAATTTATTTTTTTAATTTAAAATTTTACATTTTTAAAATAATTATTAAGTACTAATTACTTCTTAAACTATAAGATAGACCAATCCTTTGATTAATTACGTAGGCGAAAGGACGAGTCCTTTGCAAGGTTGGCTGATGTTGACATCAAAATGAAAATTAAATATACTGGAATGAAGTAACGATTTTTGGGACCAAAATTTTAGGACAATTTTTGAGACAATAATTTCATCCATGGGGCATGTAAGTTCATATGAAACTCACACCATGATAAATAGTTCTCATAAATTCGTCTTGAAATTTAGTGATAAAAATTGGTCTCCCAACTATCATTATACATTGAAATATAAAAAGCTAATTAAGGTGCTACTCCACTAGTACTACCATTTCTTGGGGTATTTACATAAAACTAGCACCTTCCTCACTACGATTGTTCATTCAAAATCGTCTTCCAACGCTTAGCCTAAAAACAAACTTCAATAATGTGATAGCCCACTACGTTCCATGCCCCTGCTGCCAGAACCACGACTGCAATGATGAAAAGGGTATAAGCTGTCCCGTACCTGCAATTACCAAACAATAGACAATAATCCACGGATGATGGTCAAACCGAACCTGCAATTACCAAACAATGATAGTAATAACAAAGATAATGATATTCACAGAACAAGGTGTGAAGTGGCGGGCAATTACAGTATAAATATATTCATCATTATAATGGGGTAGGCAAGTTCTGCCAAGAATATCTTCAGATGAACCTGTAGACCAAGGAAACAAATTAGAGGATGTACAAATGTGTCTAAGAATACAGAGGGTAACATTAACATAAAACAACATACGTTCAGCACAAACTGTGTCCTGACCAAAGAAGCCATAGTGATGTGATTCCCTGCTAGGATGATGTCGGCTGCTGCTTTTGTCATTCATCACTTGAAACCTTCCAGGCCCACCAAGCAGAACTTATAAAGTTGCGCGATGGATAGATAAAATAAAATAGGAGCAAAAGGAATTTTACTACAGCTTGCATCTTTGAGGGGTAAAAAACAAACCTATTGCGATAAACATCTCTATATTGATAACTTGTATAATACTGATGACTGTCTAAATAAGCCCTTGGTCGATGAACTGGAGTATCAGAACAACTTGGAGGAATATTTTCCTTCAAAAATCAAAAGGTTTCATCAGAAGGAATAATAAGACATGGTGAAAGATGAATCTCACTTAAAAGATGAACATTTAACAGCTTGGTATTTGCAGATGAAAGCTACTAACCAATGTAGTACATTGATACTTGGAACCAAAGTTCGAGTCATGAGCATAAAAATGTGCCTGGCGATGAGTTGAACTAGACGATAAGAATCTAGGCCTATAGGTTTCCTCCATATATTCATTCCTTTGAGTATGATATGTGAACAGATGGGCTGAGTTTCCAGGTCCTCGAAAAGTATACTCTTTATGGGCCTTTCTAACCTGGTAATCATGCTCAGGAGCATGTCTCCTCCTTGGAGGAAGGTAGTCAGGAGCATGTCTCCTTGGAGGACGGTGATCTGGAGCATGTCTCTCTCTTGGAGGAAGGTGGTCTGGGCAATGTCTCTTTCTTGGAAGAATGTAGTCAGAAGCAAGTCTCTTCCTTGGAGGAAGGTTGTATTGCCTACTATAATGCTTCATGTGTTTCTTGTGGTGAAAGGAATCTACTCAAACGGAAAAGAAAACAGAGATGGAGGAGTGAATCGAAACATTAAAAACACAGTAGTGAAGCATGATCTTTTATGCTATCAAGGAATTCGAAGATACCAGATGACTTCGTGTTGCAGGACCTTTGTAACAGAGGCGAAGTTGCAGCTCTGCGTAATTTGGGCATACCAGAGTTATTGTCATGATGTGCTGTACCATCCTGCAGTTGATGGTAAATACATTGTCGACTTAATACACAAATGTCAAATATATAATCAAAAACCAAAGTAAACATCACTGTGAATGTATCCACTTGTCACAATCCTTGGGAAGTTCATCAACAAGGTTTGATATTTTAAGAAAATACAAAGAGAAGGGAGAGAGGGAGGTGGGGGGGGAACTACCAAGGATGTAGTCTATGGAACACTTGTACGTCAAAATATTTGCTGGAGGGTCTGAGACTAAAGGTTCATATCATCACAGTGCAAAGCTAATCCCTCTCAGTATATTCAACAAATGTCACGAGAAGATAAGAATCTGAGGTATTGCAAAAAAATCCAACTTTTATATATACCTCTGCTTTGGCTTGTTTTCTTGAATCAATATGATGATATGCAAGAGAAACTTTTGCAGGCCTGTCACAACCGAGGACAACATCTCCCTTTTGAAGTTGCTTGTAAGCACCTCCTTCAATCAATAGTTCAAGATTTTTATTCCCATGTCTATTGTCTACAACTTCATGGTGGTCTTTGCCATCAGCATTAGCTGCTACTTGAGCTTTATCATTTCCAAGCATGCCATCCTCTTTGTTTTCAAGTTCCTTACGAAAACAATGAATTTCCTTGGCCATAACTGTTTCCTTTTCTTCAACAAAATTGTTGGTTTCAAGATCAGATTCCACTTTCTGGTTACCCGTATACATAAATTCCTTGTCACCACAGCATAAACTATCCTCTGCCAGAACTTCTCCACCTTCCTCATTGTCTGGAACAGTGTCACCTTCTTCGCTCTCAAGTTCATCAGAAAAATACTCCACTTCCTCAACCACAACCACATCATCTCCCTCACTCAAATTAACAATCTCCTCTTCTTCACCTGCGCTGCCATCCTCAGGTTCAGGTTCCAGTTCCAAATTAACTGTCTGCACAGATTTGTTTCCATCACCATAGTTCACAACATCATCTTCTGGTTCACATTCTTCAGTTTCGAATTCCTCCTCTGGTTCATATTCTTCAGGTTCAAATTCCTCCTCTGGATCACAATCTTCAGGTTCAAATTCCTCCTCTGGATCATATTCTGTTTCAGGCTCATATTCCTCCTGAAGCTCATCCCTTGAGGTATCACACCTTCCACCCTTTTCAACTTCATCAAAGGGCTCTCTCACATTATTTATCTCTAACATTAAGAAACATAACTTAGTATCACAGTAAAAAATTAGAAAGAATAATCCATAACATTCATATAAGAATGAAGAATCTATTCAATAATTAAAAACGTGAAACAAATGGAAGCACAATGATGGGGACTGGGGCCACCTATGCTCCCTACTATGCAGTCATAAAAGCTGACAACTTCCTTCATATCCTGAACTATAGAATTAAACCCACAAAAGCTATCTAGTCTCTATTTTATTGCCAAAATCACAACATCAGCACCCAGAAAGAACTGTCCCCAAGAGAACCCCCGGTGGTTAAGAACTTGAGTCTCTATATTGTAAATCTCAAGTTTGAATCATCCCAATAGGAAGGGGTTTGAAAAAGGACGACTATTCTTTTTCTTGTATAACCCTTAATAAGAAGTAAATAAATAAAGAAGATGCACCCAGAGAGAACTAGGAACCCGTTAAAAATTTGATGCCATAACTATCCAATTAGGCCATAACCATTAAAAAAGCATGCACATATAGAATTTGATTAAAAAAGGAGCAAACTTTACAGACCTTGCACATGCAGAACATCTAAAACAAAAGAACAGAACTTTTTTTCGGAAATGGGATTGCAGATTGACAGATTAACAAAAGCAGAGAACGAAGCAATACTCTTTGCATTAATCTCATTGCTCGTTGCAAGACCAACACCATTGTCAGCAATAGAAGTCTCTTGGGTACCAGAGGAAGAAGTTTCTAGAAGTTTCTGTGGGGTTTTGGTAACTGGGGTTTCAGCGCAAGGTTCAATCTGCCTTTCCCCTCTGGATTTTGGACCCATCCCAGGAGATTTCTTCACCATTGGGGTCCTGAAATTTGATTTTTTAATGATGCTGAAATCCATCATCCACAAAATCTATGCATAGATTAGAGCTGTTCGGTCGCGATTGCTTTTTCCCAAAGTTAAAATTCAGCAAACCCTAACCTTTACTTCCAAGTGATGACATGAAGGATGAAAACTTGCGTTAAAATTTTGAGATGAATCACGCAATTTATATTATATTATTAAATTAATTAATATATAATATTATAAATTTTAAAAACTAAAAAATAAATTATTAAATATTCCTTACCCTTCCACTCAATTGATATATTATCAGTTGAGGTATATTTTCCCTATCTTATGAGTAGGTTTCGAGCTCATTTATTGACAATTTATTCAAAAAATAAAAATAAATAAATTATTAAATAATATAAAATTTATTTTTAAAATATTTTAAATAATATAATTTATATTATATTATTAATTTTATATTTTAATTTTATTTATTATTATTCTTTTCCTAAATTGATTTTGAGAATATGTTTTGCAAGTTCGAAATATTTCCAACCATAAAATACTAACTTTTATTTTCTTTGTATTGGACCCTTCTTATCTAAAAATTTTTATTTTATATTTTAGATTGTAAAATAATAAATTCAATGGATTTTAAGTGAAGGATTTTGACTAGTGGAACAAAAAAAAAAAAAGAGAAAATGAGAAAATGAAGAAAGAAGTCTATGAAGGGCCAAAAGCCCAAAGTTTCTGGGTGAGCCCTATATGATCAACAACACAAATAAATGAGTCGAGCCCGTGTTGCAACAATATGAGCCGAGCCTATGATCCCTCCCCGTGGTGGCGCAGCCCACAAACTCCAAACATCAGACTCCGACGAATGTAATCATGGCGCGAGAGAACCAAATACGCAGTCACAGAAATCTGCTGCGAAGGTAGAAACTGTTACAGCAAAGGAATTAATGGATTTCTCACAGCAAGACGTGGATGTGTTCGGAGAGGATTACAACCACCGTGAGCAGGATGCGGACGCATCCTCCTCTACGTCTTCATCGGCATCTTCATCGGCGTCTTCCGGCTCTTCGTCATCGTCGTCGGGTTCTTCTTCATCCAATGGCGGTGACAGGGCCGAGACCAGCAGCGGAGGGGAGGAGGAAAATGGAGAAGAAGCAGGGAATGTTAGGAGTGATAATTATAGATATAATCATAATGATCTCTTTGGTGAAGAAGAAGACGAAGAGAAAGATCTCTTTGGTTCTGATCACGAAGATTACTGTAAAAATCGGTCCATTAGCTCTCTCCATCTTCCTGGTAATTATATTATAATCTCCTGATTGAATTTGGTTTTGCTATTCCAGTATTGGAATTAGACGTTCATGCTCTACGTGGTTCTTTAGCTGTTTCCTATGTCTAAATGTTTCTTTGGATGCCTTTGTTTTCGATTTGGATTGGTTTACGTGGTGAATTTAGTGATCCGGTTTGCTGCTCTGTTGATGTTCATTCTCATCCTCAGAAAATGCAGGCTCTTACGTTTGTGTAGATGAAAATTTAGACAATTAGTGCTTGTACCGATGACCAACTCCGAGCCATGGGAAACATAGTAGCTCTTACAATCAAGTTTTGAAGTTAAAAAAAAAATGCAGGAATTTTAGAAAGCTTTGGGGATAACATCATTGTTTGTGATGAATGTTCATCTGGAGTGGCACATAAAGGGATAAATTTGTTATCGGTGCTTAATAATCAATTATGAAATTGGAGAATATAGAAATATTAGAGATATACTTAAACCCTGTTTTAATTATGAGACTATATACATTAAATAATTGAATTCAGTTTTGGTTGATCACTTCTTCTGGTAGTGTTGCCTGCCATATGTAATGCTAACAACCTGAGGGGAGGGGGTTTTGGACGTGGCCACTGGAATGATAGAGGAGCAGGTATCCTACCCTGTCCCAATTATGCCCAAGGCATGGATATGGGTACGGCTCAAAATCTTCAAATGGTCGCCATGATGAATGATTTGTTTCTGAGCTAAAGCTTTCCAAAAGTGCAGAGACATTATCCCAAAAACGTATTGCATTGCAGTAGGTAATCAAACCAGTATCATTTCCTTTGATGAACATACCTCATGAATTAGTTAATATTTATGCACACTCTAAAGTATGTGTTAACTTGTTTGTTTTAATGTTGCTAACTTTATGCTAAATTTGCTAATTCAATTCTAAAGCCCTGCAAACTTGCTTGCTATTGTTGAAGGTGGAGAAGTCTACTTTGATGATCGCAGCTTGGTAATCATTTTGGAAACTGTTCCTTCCATGGTTTTTTCTTTGTCCTTTCACTGAGTTTGTTTCTAGATGGTTACTTCTCTTGAATTTTCATACATTGAAACCACAGTTTTTGTGCCACATTATTGGAAGTTTTTTAAGTGGCTTGCTACTGAAGATGTTGGAGCTGATCTAAATGAAGGCTTTGATACCTTTATTGATGAAAAAGGTAAAATTTGTACTGGCTTGCAAGTTGACACTATTATATTGGTGTTTGACTTAATCCACAAGAACCAATGTTTATGCTTGTTTATTTGTGTCTTCTGGATTGTGTATGAGGGCTGATACATGCAGGGAACTTTGTGTTTTATTCTAAACCAGAATTGCGTTCTGAGGCTTTTGGTGACCTTTTTGCTTGCATAAGAGACAAAAACATCCCACTTCATAACATGCATTCTGTGGTATGACAGGATATTTGTTTAGCTTTCTTTTGTCCTGTTATTAAGCGTGGCTGATTGAAATTTTCTCCCTACTCCTTTTCACAGACATTCCGCAACAACCTCAATAAGGTTATTGCTTATGCCTTTAGCAACCAATCATTTTTCCCCTAATGAATTAAAGGATATTTGTGGGTGTCCAACCATGATATTTTATGCTACATTCCCTTCTTTCTCCTGTTTCTTCAGATATTGGCTACTGCTTATATTAGAAATAAGCCTTGGGAAGTGGGTGTACACAATGGGAAGTGGGTGTGCACAAGCGGAATGGTGTTGTCTTTCTTGATGTTCATAAACTTCCTGAAAGGCCAAAAAGCGAGTTGGACCTTCAAAGGTACTAGACTTGTCTAACATCCCCCTTTCTTCCTTCTTTGTGCATGTATTATTCTTGTTTAAGGGAAAGAAAATGGCAAATCCAAATTGTGTTGTTCATTTGGGCCTGGGGTCATTTAAGAAGATTTTCACCAGTCTACTGCATGCGTTTGATGTTCATAATTTCATATATTTGCATTACCTAGTGTGGATTGATTTTCACTCTCATGATTTCAATTATCTGTGTTGTTGTAATTTCACAATTTCCTTTATTGGTTCTCTCATTGACTTGAACTGAAGAGTGCTTTACTTTCCATACATTACTCCTTTAGATGCTACTGGGGATATTGTATTAAGATTCTTGCTACTGAAGATCCAAACAGAGGTTGTGGTGAATGGAAAAATCATGTAGATGCCAATGTCGAATACTGTTCTGCGATTAAAACCAAATTAGGGCCTCATTGCATTTTGATGGGCACTGAAATGGACTGCTGTGATGCAATGGATGATGGGAGAAAATTCTATATGGAACTGAAAACCAGCCGTGTGGTAAGGAAACCTCCTCTTTTTATTTTCCATTCCATGCTCTATGTCCCATGTTCTTCTTTAAATTATATATAATCTTGCTTGTACCAAGATTAAATCTGTAAAAAGATCTCTTCTTGTGCAGTTGGATTACCAAACTGGAGGAAGATATGAGAGAGAAAAACTGCTCAAGTTTTGCGTACATTCTTTTCCTAAAATGACTATTTATAAAATTGCTTTCTTTTGGTGGACTTTTGTGCCTGCAGTATCATGCATTTAATCAATGAGAGTTGTCCTTAAATTTCTTAATCTGTTGCAGTCTGAGGCATTGATGAATCACTTATCTATTATAATCAGAAATGTTTTGAATTTTTTGACCTTTCTTAGATTGGTTAATGAATGTGGTGTTTGATATGGTAATTTCTTTGTTTTCTTTTTCCTATCTAATCCATTATTTATGTAGAGAATGATTTCTACTTCCTTTTTTCCCTTTCTCTCTCTCTATTGCAGATTCAATCTTTCCTAGAAGGTGTTCCTTACATTGTTTTTGGATTTAGGTAATACCCATCATTACATCATGACACCTTTAACTTGCTTGAAGTGTCTTCAGCATTTTGTAAAATTGAAATCAGAAAGTCTGTTTTCAATTTATTGTGCCAGTCATGTGCCTCTCTGTTAAGAGTTAGAATAGACTGCTGGGTTTTCTTGTTGAACAGAAGCAGAGATATGCTTGTTCTGAAAATACTCTTAACACATTCTATAAGCAAATGTTCAGTTCTGAGCGACTGCTGGGTTTTCCTGTTGCAAACTTATTTGATCTATTGCATTCTTGCTTTTAATGCAGAGATGGTGCAGGCCACCTTGTCCGGACAGAGCAACTAAGAACCAAAGACATAACCCATAGAGTGAAAGTGAAGAACTACTGGCAGGTAAGCTCTTCACTTTATTTTTTGCTACCTGTCTAATCAGCCAAGATCATCAGAACCCAGTAATTACATGGAATAAGTTTTTGGCTTTCTGACCTTCTACTCTGCTTTGAATGAAACTGTCTTGGGCAGGGAGCAGTTTGGCTGGCATTTGCCGATGAGGTTTTGCGCTGGCTTTATGGAACAGTCAAAGAGAGTGAGTTCTCTCTTCCTGTGCTTCAGCATGATTCAATTGGCTTATACAATCAAAGAAAAGCAATAGATTATCTTACTTCCAGGCATCATGTTCTCTTCAATAGTTAGTCTGAATAATCTTTCAAGACAATTGTTTATTTGATTCTTTTTTCTTCTTCAGATGAAGGTTACATATTGCAGTTTGCGCCGTCGTTCATCCGCTTAGAGCTTCTACAAGCACAATCTTGCCCTGATGCAATCACCAACCACGTCGAACAAAATTGTAGCCATTCAACACTTCTTAATACTTAATTGTTATAGTGGAAATGCAGAATCAAATTAATTTAACTCATAAATTCGATTCTTTTGCTACAAACATTGTTGCAATTTTGTGAAAGTGAGAGATTTTGTCAAAATTCTGGTGCAAACAACTTTCTGAAGTGATAACTGGAAAAATATTATAAAACTAATCAAATTTATTTACAATGAAAATTTAGAAAAAGAATGTTAATTATAATTTTTTTAAAATCATATAAAAAGTGTTTTATCATTTAAATAGATATTTAAAATTAAGAGAGCACAAAGAAAAATTAAGTAAAAGCACAATTGTATTAAAATAAGTAATTCTACTACTGAAAAAAAAAAACCTAACTTAAATCTCAAGAAATCATAAAACCCTAACTAACCATCATCAATTTAGTTCCTTTGAAACTGCAAAGGGTAACATGCAATACATGATCTTGTAACCACAGCTCACTCCAACGCAATACTCCAAAGTAGTCCAGTAACTCATAGCCCTCCCTAGCTCGAACGACACAAGAGCGTCGATACAAGCATACTGAATTTGTGCATCACTAAGTGCATCATCATCCCATCGGCTCAGTGTAACATTCTTAGGCTTCTCCATATCCCACTGCAATACCGCCTTCGCAAGTGCCTTCAATCCCATCCTACCAAAATCCTCCCGGCACAGCCTCACCGCCGCCAAGTACCGAAGATCAACCACGTTTCTCACCCTCAAACCATGGTCCTTCATAAGCTTCTCCCCGTCTTCTCCAACCCCAACACCCACAAAGGTAAAGGAAGGATCCGCCAATAACTCCGCCAAGGAAATAGGTATCTCCTGAGCGCGGAGAAGCTGAAAGATGAGACAAGTTTTCCCTGAGCACAGTTGCAGAGTCGCCACCGGGTTGTTGTCTCCAGGGTTGAGATTCGGACGCCATTCAATGTCGAGGCCGATGAAGCGAATAACATTCCATGACCGCACGTTATTGACCCAGGTATCCACCGTCGATGTTACACGGGTAACGATGGTCTCCACACTCTGGCCACCGGAATTAACCACGTAAAGATCATATAGTGATGATTTCAAAAGCGGAACTATGCTCGAAGAAGTCGCCATGAGCACGAAAACATAGGAAAACAACAGAGGAAACAGAGAAAAACCCAGTAGAATGAGTCTTGTAGCCAACGCGGGTTCATATAGTTTACGCAGAGTCCTAGTCCTAATCGAAGCCGGATGGACAGTGGCCCACTGGGCCAAGTTTAAATAAAATTTCATTTTTGTCCTGTTAAAATTTCTTTTGTCAATTTACTCCCACAGAATAAAATTCTCATTTAAACTTTATGGTTGAAAGATAGGAAAACTTCCATCTTATGTTTTTTTTTGGTAAACAAAGAGAATAATTATATTAATAAGGAGTAGAAGTGATATTTTGACCCAAAACTTTCATCTTATGTATCAATTGCAACTAAAAACATTTCAATTTGTTGCATTGGGCTAACTAAATTCATTATATCCATGTGAAGAGAGACCATAATAAGGTAGTCCATGTGGAAACTAATGGTTTAATTAATTTTACTCTTCTTATAATATGTTTCATTGAATATGTAAATCCTCATGTATTCATGTTTTGATTCATTATTAATATGAGCTGGTGGATATTGCCATTTTATGACGATGAATGATGAATTTCATATTTTCATTCAGTATTGACTATAAATATATATATATATATATATATATATATAAAGAGAAGAAAGTATTTAAAAGGACTTAGTTGTTGATGGTAGAAACGTTTGACGGCTTATTCGGTTTTTTGTTTCCTTTTTGTTGGGCCAGACTTGGTTTGGCCCAGAATGCGGGAAACACTGACTCGAAGGTGGTCGAAGGCCGTTTTCCATGCAGCCGATAACGGCGACGAGGAGTAATCGGCGATGGAGGGGAAAGTGAAGGAAGAAGTAATGAAGAGCATAACGGAGGGACTGTCATCTATGGAAGACCTCTACTTCCCTCGCGCACTTCTGTCGTCGGCTTCCCATCCCTCCCAACGGAAGTCCATCCTCCTCGACCTACTCTTTCGCGTTGTCACCATCTTCTTGGGTATGAAGCATCGGTTTTCTCTTTTCCACTTATACTGTAGTTTTTTCTACCGTAAAAGAAAACAGAGAGCAAAAAGAAAGAAACTGTTTTTTTCTTATTTTTATTTCTTGTGTTTTTCTTCCATAGGAGAATTGTAAATCCAACTGTACCGCCAATTAGTTGATTGAAGTTTCGTTATATATATTTATTTATTATTGAAGAATCTCATGATTTTCTATATATAATGATATTATCTATGGAAGAGGTTAACATTTGAATTATAGGCCCATATGATTCCTTGGTTTGTTTAGTATTTTTTCATTGAGTTAATGTTACTGTTGCAGAAAGATATGGATCACAATTAACTAGTGATGAGCTACGGAATTCAATTATCTGGCATTTGAAACATAGAAGAAGAAAGATGAACCCACTAAAGAAGAGTTGAGATCAAGGTCAGTGGGAGTAGAGAACTGTAGGCAGTAGTTTTTCAGAGGATGCAATGAGGGAGAGGAAGCCTTATTTAGATCATGAGTATGTGGGGAGGTTTCAGGACCTAAGTGGCAAGAGTATGGCTCGGCCAGGGTAGTGGTGGTCAGAGACATTGATGAGGAGGTCAGAGGAAGCAATGTTGATTGCAAAGATTAGGGAGGAGCAGTGGAGGCAGGGCGTGGCTGAGGCAGACTGGGTTGGCTATGAGAGATACCGAAAACAACAAGAAGAAGGGGAAGTGGAGAAGGAGGAAGAAGAAGAAGTGAGGAGTGCATCTTGCAGAGGTAACTTTTTGTGGTTTATCTCCATTTTAGCAAACATATGCTGGATAATGAAGAGGTGTTGCCATCAACAAAGTGAAAAAAAATAATAGGACGGCTAATTTTGAAGAAAGGGAGTAATTCCTTTAATGAAAAAAAAAATCAGTGCAGAAAGATTAGCCAATTGATGGCTTTAGTTACCTGCGTGTATTTCTTAAATAGTGTTACTCAAGAGTCGAATATATTGCTCTGTGCTGATGAATTTTCCTCTCAAACTGCAATGTGCTATCTATTTTTGGTATGTAATTTGAATTGGATTCTTGTCTTTTCAGTAAAGTTGCGGACTTGTTTTGCCTAAACTGAGATTTTACTTCGTGACCTTCGGATGCTTGTGGACCATCCTACTAAAAACAACAGTTCTTACCCTGCCACTACAGAGCAAAATGTGGAGATGGTTTCTGCTGAAGACATGCAAGATGGGATGGAACAGTTTACCTACATCATGCAGCAGAAGTTTCTCTCTGGTGAAGATCATCAATATTTAGATTACTCAAAAATAGATGAGGATGAGACCTTGGACGATCATTGGCTTAGAGAAGCTAACCATGATGCTGAGGAGAAATGTTTTGCTAAATATTAACAACAAAAAGTCACATTAACTTATTGCTGAAGTGTCAGAGCTAACCTTTGGTTTATTGGCAGGTATTTGCTTGTGTAATTTTATGCCTTTTTGTACAAATGGTATGTGATCAGATGTTTTGAATAGTTTGAGGCTATTGTGAAAATTTGCTATTATCATTTATCAGCCCTAGTATCTAGTCTAGAATTAAGTTTTTGAGTGATTTGGGGCTTAGGAAATGGATAATTATAGGGGTTTATGTGGGGAGGGGGGGGGTTTACCCTAGCTCAAGTAGATGATGATTTGAGATTAAGGGTTCGTTTGGTACAGCTTTCCAAGTGCTTCAGTTTTTTGACACTATTTATATTTCATAAGTTTAAATTTCTCTCTTAAAAACTTACATCTTTAAACATTTTTTTAATCTTAAAAAGTCCCTAAACAATAAAAGATCAAAAGTTTCAAATTCAAGTTTTTCATAAACTTTCTTTTTATTCACTTTTTACTCATTTTTTCCTATCTTTAAAAGTAACTTTTAAATTTTTCCTCCAATAAAAATTTAAACTTATCACTCATGAACAATATAAAAAAATAAAAAATAAAAAAAACAAAAGCTCCAACAAGCTGCACCAAACAGACCCTAAATTTCAATGCATCTAAGAACTTTAGTGGCCAATTTATTTGGGTAAAGTTGATAATCACACTTTTACAATGAAAGAAAATTGTGATGGTTCGCAAGCATTAGTTAATTATGTTTAAGAAGAGTGGGGCAGATGGTATCTTAAATACTTTTTGTTTAATGAGAGTTCGTTTAGGTGATATTGAGCTCTATTTCTTTTTGCTTAAACTGTTTTTCTTGGGGTTTGCCTTAGTCACATGCTGATCTCCAATGATATTTCCACTTATCTCTTGAAATCTCTATATATATGCTGATTGTGATTCTGTGCTTGATAAGCTGAATTTATATAGATATTAATGTGAAATTTTTATCTTAATATTATTAATATTTGGATGAATTTTATAAAATTTTACATGGTTTTCATTCTTTATATAGAAAAAAAACTTGAAGACATAAAAATAAGAGTTTTTGGGATTAATTGAACATCTTTTGAAAGTTGAGGGATGAATTGCAAGAAGAAGGCGCCTCTTTGGGACTTAAATGAATGAATCTTGAGTTTTGGGATCTAAGTCCTCATTCTACAAAAATTGGAGGACCAAATCTGCTATTTTACCATTGAAGAAATTACATGGAGAGACCAGAAACTTGACACAGGTATAGTATTGACACATAATTAGGGTATCAACACCATGCGTTAAGCATCCAGAATTAGACTCTGTTTTTTATTTTGTGTCGATATATAATTCAAGGTGTCAACACAATGCGTTTAGTGTCCAAAATTTAAGTTTTTTATCTTGTTCCAAATCCTACTTCTATTCCAACTATGGTTTCTAAAATCCTATAATACCCATTCAAATTTAGAATTGTGGGAGCTTTGGAAGGCTGGTGACAACCCTCTATTAAGCATTCTTGGATGTCAGGATAAAAAATCCATCAATAATAGAAAATGAAGATTTTCAATTATTTTAAATTAAATTTTGTTTTTCCTTAGATATTTTTATATTTATAACTGTAATTTCATATTTTATTATTTTTATTATGAACTAATTTATTTTATTAAAGTTATGATGTAGCCTACTTAATTTAATATAGATTTTATTATTTTTAGACTTTCAATTAAAGTTATTTATATTAGGAGTTTATATTATTGAACTTAATGCATTGAAAGCCTAATAATCTTTCAATTGATTTAGTGATTTATGCATGAACTTGAGAAAGAATTACCTAAATTGGACTAATACTAATATAAACTGTGTGTTAGACTATGAGACATGTGGTAGTAGAAGAAGAGAAAAGAGTTAGAAGTTTCCCCTTATTAAGTTAGAGGTTTTCATGGAATTTAATACTCATTAATTTATTTAAAATTGCATAGAGATATGATTAATTTAATAAATCAGTGAAAGATTAACTTGACTTGAGAAAGCTAGTTAATTAATTTAGAGAAATTTACCATCATATGCAATAACACTCAATAAATTAATTTTGAAAGTATATTAATTCAGAATTTATATTGATTGATTATGATGAAGTCGACACCTTAATACCTCATATCTTGATTAGTTTTATTTTAATTGTTATTTTTTTTTTTAATTAAAGTTTCTTTCTTTCGATTGTTTAAATAAATTTGGGTACTTAATTAAACAGTCTTCATGTGTTCGATACCTTCTTATCATTATATTACTTAGAGCAACTAGTATTTCTTATCATTATATTACTTAGAGCGACTAGTACAGTTGATAAGATGATTTTAGTGCATCACCATACATTCTAGTATAGGGAGGAACAAAGTGAACAAAATAAGGGAATTTCTGACCGACAGGAAAGTGTATAAATCAGAATCCAAGATGGTTTACAAATAATTCAAGTTTGTACATGATGCATGCGCTTCCAAATATAATGGTGTTGAATATATTTATTTATATCCACAGTTTTGAATGTTAGTCTATTGAGTATATTGCAATGAAACTTCAACTTGTCTCTGTTTGGAAGGATGGGTAAGCAATTGGCATTCCTTGGACCAACTTGCCATTCCTTGACTTATCCATCCTTCTTACCAAAGGCAACTTGATTACGAAAGTCTATATGTGGTGCTATACCATATCAGTCTAACTTGAATTCACTTGATGATGCATAACACTGTCATTTAGAGGTTTTTGACAATATTCTTTCTTAATATTAATATCTGGCGTCTGCTAAACATTTTCATCAGCAGGACTTGCTGCTTTCTGATTCTTTGCAGAACAGTTCGATTCCACTTCCAACATTCCATAATCCCACAACAAATATTCCGAGCATAAGTTCAGGTTAGAACCAACCCACTTGATCCATATTCACCCTTAACTTGTAAGCCAGCCCCCCCACCCCCCAAACCCCCTTTTCTATGAAATATTCTATGCCTTTGTATTTGATTGACTGACTGAGGTGTGGTAGGATGTCTTGTTATTTCCAGAGACAAAGCAAGACAAACATTTGCAGGTTTTTTTTTTACCATGAAACTGGGGATGAACCCAAGAAAGGCCAAACCCTTAGCACGGGTCTTTGGAATCCAAATATAAGAAACCAAGAGAATCACATGATTTCTGGATTTGATTCTTGTGAATGAGTGAATATGTTCCGTCTGATTTAGACAATTTACCTGCTGCTATGCTCCATTTTACTCTTAAAAGTATTGCCAACTCTTGCCTTCTTTTTCTTTGTATTTATTTATGTATAATCAATGATTCTCCTTTTATAAAGACTAAAGTGTGTGTCTTTTCTTCATTATAAAATTGAGGAATCTCAACATTATATAGTATTTGTTCTCAAAAGATAATAGACGTATAATTTTTAAAGATGGTTTATATACAATGATGGGATATTTTATAATTTTGTTTTATTAGGGTTATGTATAAATTGATATACATTCACAACATGGTTTGGTAAAATATGATTAACAAGACTTTTTCTCTCCATTAGAAACGTTTTAAATATTTTTTTCCATTTGTAAGAAGTTGAAATATAA